TGTTATGCATCCATGTAGCATCCAAACTGCGAAAATCTATTTTATAGGAAATACTTTTCTCCAAATGTATTTCAATAAAAATAGACTACCCATGGATCCAAACGGCCCCTTAACGAGTTGGGAATTCCAGGTGGCGTTTGAATATTTAAGTTTGCTTACACAAATTGATCAGTACAATTAAACGTTTTGTTGTTTTTTTTGGCATGGAAGATTGATTAAGTAGAACTATGGTATTTCATTGTTGTATAGAACGTGACAATTTTGATGGGACGTTTCATATTTTTGGGTTTTTGTGGCTTTTTTAACCGCAATCCTATATTGAGAGGCTTTTTTTGGTTTTTTTTCTAACAATAATCTTATACTTTCGGTTACAATTCTTATTATTGGCTAATGTAATTACTGTGTTTAGTATTATGAATTTAACGTATATTTTGGGTCATGACAACAAGGTAAGTAGTATTGTCATGTTTAAGGAAAATTTAGAGAAAAATTGTAAAGTATTACTCCAAAGGACACCAAGTAATAATACAAACATTATTGTTTAAGGGCTTGAATATATTTATACAATAATTAAATTTATCTATGTCATTTTTACATCCAATTTTTCCATTCTCTTTGCAAACCAAATCCAGAATATTGATGATTATTTCATTGACCTAATTTTTGGCAATACATATTTCTGACAATTTTTTTTTCTTCGACTTTTTCGAATAAAACAAATTCATTATTGATGTTTTGGTTTGATGATATATTATTATTTATGAATCGCTAACTATGACTGAGATAAGGTTTCGATGCATAAGATGTTATCTCCTCTCTTCATATAGCTTGTGTGATATAAAATAATGATCCTATGAGACCCTCCCACATCCATGTGTGTGGGATCCGAAAGGATCACCATTAAATTTGGCATAGATATCTAAAAAATTTATCATGGGTGTGGGACTTGACTTTTCTAGAAATCTGTGCCAAATTTAATGGTGATCATTTAGGGTCCTACACACATGGGTGTGGGAGGGTCTCACAATATCATTTCCCAAACCCCTATAATATATATTCTCTCTTTGGAAATAGAAGTCCCACTAAGATGACTTTTTCTTTCTATTTTTTTTGGCAAAATATTAGGAACCGAGGCACCCCCGTTGAAACAAATTTAATACCTCGAAACCAACTTGCTAATCACTGACAAATTGATTCCAATAAATCCAAACGCCTAAGAATTGAATATGGTGTAATAAAGTTCGTAAAAATACGATGAAGTCAAGACAAAGTAAAATAGGAAGATCAATGGCATAACCACACACCACAAGCCATAATCAAAGTAGCATCAACACACAATATATGTGGTTCACCCAAAATTGGGCTACATCCACAGGCAACTGCCAAAATAATTCACTATAATGGAAAAATTTTATAAATTTGTGGATTTTGTAGAGATTACCTCATACAATGATAAAAAAAACTCAATTTGATATTTTTAACACAATAACACCATTGATCGACTCATTGTTTTAACTCTCTCGACCAACACTATCATCGTAATGAAATTCTGATGAATCTGATCTAATACAAAGTCACAATAGTGCTAGGGTTTGTACAAAAAACCCGAGATCTCTATTTTTCCTAAAACTCATCTTCTTTCTCTCAACGAGAGCCTCATTTTAAGAAACCTCACGTTTCTCTCCACAAAATGACTTTATGGGCCTCCACAAAAGTTATATTTTTTGTGACGAAAATAGCCTTTGGTATTGAGGGAAAAGATATATACTCCCCTTCTATAACTGTAACCCCAAATAAACACTCATTTGTATGGAAAGCATATAGACTCCCTCTAAGTTAAAAGAAAAAGACATTTAACTCTTTCTCTTTTTTTTATTTATTATCCAAATCATATTTATCATTTTTCTCTACTCTAATGACCCCATCATCCAAATAGATTTTGGGATGCTACATTTAAACTACTTGTGATTTTCATTAGAGCGAGAGAGGTGGGGGGCGGGGGCGGGGGTCGGGGGGCGGGGGGTCGGGGGTGGGGGGCGGGGGTAGGGGGTGGGGGGTGGGGGGGTGGTAGGAGTGGAAGAGGAGAAAAGGGAGTTGGGAAGTGGGTGGTGGGGTAGGAGTAAAGGTGGGTAGAGTTTTTCAAGGGTTTGGAAAGTTG